AGCACCCGCCGCTACATGTCTACGTGAATAAATGTCGCGTAATTTGCTAGTTTGGCTAGGTATCTACTCCATCAAAGTGGGTAGCCATGGTTGTTCTAATACGAGAAAAGAAGACAGGGGAATACGGATCTTTCCCCGGGCTGCTGTAATCGGTGAGCATTCATAAATCAGGCCTTTTGTACCACTTTTACAGACTACCGAATAGGAACTCTACGGGTGTCACCCCGGCTGCTTCTGATTCGCGAGTATTGACATATCAATGTACGGAGTTTACGCCGTCGGAATATGAGTCTACACTATGGGCCTCTCACCGGCGTCATTTGATTGGCGATTCGGGTATCCGCAATGGGAACTTCATCAGTTTACGGAGCATGCGCCGTTGGAACATGAACAGTTATGATGTCACACCGGCCGCTCGTGGTGGGCAAGAAATGGTAAAATGAGCTTTTCATACCGGGTGCTTTGGGAGAGATCAACACCCGGACATTAACCGGACCAGTTTTTATTGGACAACCTTTTCATAAATTGAATCCCCCCATCACACCGGTCGTGGCTTCATCTCATGTGTTGATTGTTCATCCCTACAATTCAAATCTGGACATGAGGGGAGAGTCCACAAGACTTGTAGCATACGGACCTCACCCCGACCGGCCCCATCTCCGATTGGCGCAGTTTTGTTCTTCTACAAAACCGAATATCGAATCCGTCACACAAGAAACCGGGCATCTCTCCCTCTCATTTTTCATTCGTCGATTGTCAAGATCCTCCCACACATGAAATATTGGCAGTTGGTGATCCGAGGTCCCTGGCGGACATCACCTCGGCTTGCTCTGATTGGCCATATTCAGACCCCTCGGATTTCCATCTTGGTCGAAATCGCCCCACAAAAACCACCCGCACTTCTTTTTTGTAGGGTCGGGTACGTTACCCGCGTGGCACCTTAGATCAGTTTTATCAGCACATCACCTTGGGAGGCCAAAGAACGTTAGGGGGAAAGGCGGGCTTACATGTAGAAATACCTCCCCCGATTCTCCTTCCTCTCCCTCTCACCGTTTGCTTGCTTGGTGTCATTCGTCACCACCCTCAACACCCCCGGCACACCGCAGTGACACTTTGGTGTATATTTCGGGTGAAAAGCAGAGCGATAGTGGCGGTAGGTGATGTTGATCCTGATATTGCCCGACACAGGGTGCGGGGTTAGGGTTGGGGAAGGTGACACGGAGTGTTTCCATTCCTCTTGGGTGGTGGAGTGCATGATCAACAAGGAGTTGTGGGGAAGGGGGAGCGAGACCTGGCCTTGGAGGTTTGGATCAGGATTGTCAGATGTGGAAGAGGGCAGAAAAGAAGATATGCGACGGAGGCGGAACTCGCGGGTTACGCCTAGGGAAAGGGATGCAATTGTGGGGCGGGGGCCGAGGTAGGTTAGTTGGTCGGTGTGCTGTTAACCATTAGCATATGTCTAAAATAAAATGGAGGGTTGTTGGTGAAGGGGACAAGTAGTGAGAATAAGGGGGTGTGGTTGGCAGGGAAACGCTCAGGGGTTGTGGTGTGGACATAAGATGTGGAGAGAAATGGAACGAAAACAGACGTACCCAACCAACGCTCTCCTGCGGCCCATTGTAACAATTCACAAAAGCTACATTCGCACACCAAGGCTCAGAAGGCTGATGTCTTGGCTTCTGACCACCGTGATGAGTGCGAATGTGCTCTTCAATTGCCGAATTGACTGTTTCTTGCACTCGCCCCCGTACAGCTTCTAGTTTTGGTGTCAGGGTGCGGACATCCTGTACAATCCTGTAAGAATCTATGAAAGTAGCGGAGCCGGGGAAATGAGAGCAGAAACCTACGCTGATCCTGCCACCGTTATAGTGGTAGTCATCCTTCTGCTCTTGCAGTTCCTTCTGACTGCCAACGTAAAACCCCGAGGTGTGGGGGCTGGAGACGATGTTGTCAAATAGTTTGAAGGATGCCTTTTGGAATGTTTTGGACTCTTCGAGGAGTTCGGATAGAAGCTCGTTGGCTTCGTGGGCGGGGAGGAAGTTGTGGATTATGGTGCAGGGGGTGTGCTCGCTTATGTCTTGCGGGTCGTAGAGGTGTAGTGTTTGGCCTTTTTTGGAGAGAATTTTGGGTTTCTTTGGGGATGGCTCGCCGGATGATGGGTCGATAGCGAAGGCTCGTAGGGATGTTTGTCCTGCTATTCTGTTGTTGGCAGTCTTTTTGACAGATCGGGGGGTAGATGGTGATTTGAGGGTGTTGGATGTGGCCTGGACATCGCCGTCGTGCGCTAAAAGAATATCAAGAAGCATTTCTTGTTCGATATCAGGATGAAGGGAAGCTAGAATCGCCAGTTTGATGTCTGTCGATTCTTCATGCGATTCCACGGCAAAGTCGTCGCTTGTTTTGCGTTTCTGTGGCCGCCTGGTCACAAAGGCATCCATGGCTTCAGTCGAGAGCTCCTTGGTCTCCCAAGCCTGCAAACTTTTGAATAAATCAGAGGACCACCGGGATATCCAAGCGCATGTCCTCCAAAACCCAAAATGATGTCGTTGAACCAAGAGGTGTTGTAACGCGTAGATTAAACATGGACGTGTCACCGGTGGGGCACCAAACGCCCAGGGGGAGCGCTGTCACGGGACCGCTTACAGCGGGAAACCAGGGATCAGTGCGGCTGTTAAAGAATCCCCCGGGGAGTCGGTTCCGGGGTAGCTACCGTAAGCCGAGGCCCATCTGCCCCACCATTTCACGGACGGCTTAGCAGCACATGGCAGCCCACCTCCTCCAACCTCACCGAGACATTGAACTTGTCGCAAACGACACAATTGGAAATTGGAAGTAAACATTGCGCTTTGCTCATACACGTACCCCTTTTTCACCCCTAATCTTGCCCAATCTTTGCTTGCCTCTCTTGCTGCGCATTGCCCCTCTTGTGCCCCAACCCCTCACAATGGCCTCCCTCCTCGAAGCCCGAACCCCGGGCTTCAACCCTTACTCGGTCAAATACTCCCCCTACTACGACTCCCGCCTCGCCGTCGCCTCCTCCTCCAACTACGGCATCGTCGGCAACGGCCGCCTCTTCATCTTGGGTCTCGGCCCCCAGGGCATCGCCATCGAAAAAACCTACGACACAAACGACGCCCAGTACGACCTCGCCTGGTCAGAAATCAACGAAAACCAATGCGCGGTAGCATGCGGCGATGGCTCCATCAAGCTCTTCGACCTCAACGTGCCCGAATTTCCCGTCATGAACTTCCACGAGCACAAGCGAGAGACCTTTTCCGTCTGTTGGAACCCCCTCACAAAAGACACCTTCCTCTCCTCATCATGGGATGGTACCGTCAAAATCGTTCGTTCCCCCTTCCCTTTCCCCCTTCAATCCCATCAACCACTAACCTTTGTCTCACCACTAGTGGTCCCCAACCCGCCCAGCAAGCCTCAAAACCCTCCCCGTAGGCAACTGCACCTACTCGGCCTCCTTCAGCCCCCACAACCCCTCCCTCATCTCCTGCGTCAGTTCCGATTCCCACCTCCGCCTGTTCGACCTCCGCACTCCTGTCAACGCAAAATACCACCTCGTCGCCCAGATTCCGATCCACTCCCCCCCTTCCATACCCCAGTCCACCATCCTCCCCCGCCTCTCCAACGGCACCACCTACGCGGGTGCCATCCCGAACGAAGCCCTCACGCACGATTGGAACAAATACTCGGACACTGTCATCGCCACCGGCGGGGTGGACCGCACCATCCGGACGTTTGACATTCGCAACCCGACCGGCGGCCCGACGGCGGTGTTGCTGGGTCATGAGTTTGCCGTTAGGAAGCTCCAGTGGTCGCCGCATGCGCGGGATGTGCTTGCCAGCGCAGGGTACGACATGACGGTGAGGGTTTGGAGTGATGGGAGCGCGATGCCGTTTCCGCAGGAGGAGAACGTCATTAGGGTGGGGCAGGAGTTGGGGTTGATGAATAGGCACACCGAGTTTTGCACGGGGGTGGACTGGTGTCTTTTTGGGACGGGGGGTTGGGTGGCTAGTGTTGGGTGGGATGAGAGGGTTTTGGTTTGGGATGCGCATACGCTTTTGAGGAGGTGATGTGAAAGGGAAGAGGGAGAGGTGTTGAAGGAAGGAAATGAAAGGGAAAACAAAAAAACAAAAAGCAGGATATGATACCCCCCCAAGCATTGGAGGAATTGGACATGAATTAAGCGAGAGGATGAGAAGATCACAAGGCAGAACATCATACAGGATTGGAGAAAACCAAATAGACAGGACGTTTTCAAGAACGAATAGAGCAAACCGCATATTCCCAAGATTCTCGGTCAAGATGGGCGTCATACAACATCAAAACTCGGGACAGAATTTCATCCACACATCATGGACAACAAAACAGGCAAGATTCAACCTCGTAATCGTACAATTTTTGGTATAAACAAGACATACACCGTTCTCCATAATTTACACGAAACCAGGAACCCCAAAAGACTTAAGATCCCCAAGATGTCAAAAGCCAAAGATGAGCAAAAGAAAACAAGTAGAGAAGAGAGATTCCCCTGTGATGTGATATGCGCCGCTTTGCCACCCCGCCCGCCTGCCTGCCTTGTACCCGAAATAAATTGCCAGCCATTGTCTCTCCTATTTTCCCATCCATACCTCATGACTGAGAATCGAAGTGACAACAAAAGAAGAGAAAATGCCCTCTCCTCTCTTGAATTCTTTTGACCCGAAAAAAAGCAAAAAATAAACTCCGGGACAATGCTGTGATGTCAAATCCAATGAGGGGGCACCCTTCGTTCCAGGTCCCCCTGTTTTTGTTTCGTACCCATCTTCCCCCTAACCCATTCTCATTCACACAGGAAGAACCCCTCCCAACTCCACACAAAATGATTAGCCGCCCCTGGGAATGTGATTTGAACAAAAAACCACGCCTCCTGCTTTGGCGTCATCCCAAACCGCCCATCCGTAATGATGGCTCACCATTTAGAAAGTGGCACGGCCACCACCTCTGGACTGCTGCTTATCCCTCTGTCCAGCCATCTCCATAGCCTCCCAGTTATCCCTCGGCTTCCTCTCCCCCCTGTCACCGCCTCTCCCACCGCTGCCACGTCCACCAAAGCCACCACCACGTCCACCAAAGCCACCATCACGACCACCACCACCACCACGGCCACCGAAGCCACCATCACGGCCACCACCACGGCCACCGAAGCCACCGCCCGTCCCGCTGCGTTGGAACCTGTTCTCCTCCCTCTCGGCGACTCTAAGGCCGGTAATCCGGCCCATGTTCCTCATCAGCGATGGCGAAACTCCAGGGGGCTGATCCAAGCCAAAGATGTTCTTGCTGAAGGTGTTCAACTCGTCAACAACAGCCTGCTTGTGCACACCTTGGAGAGCGCCGCCCAAGAAAGACTTGTAATACTCTGAGATGGTCTCATAGGGAAGCTTGGAAAACGCTTCGCGAACCCTCTTGACAGAATCGGGGAACGACTCGGGCTCGGCACCGTAGAGATCAGTCGAGGCAACGGCAAAGTCGGTGGACCGCTTGATGGGAAGACCGGGCAATCTGCTGCGGGCAGTGCTGACCTCGGAATCAGAAACCAGGAGCCAAGCCTCACCCTCCTTGCCAGCACGGCCCGTACGACCGATGCGGTGAATGTATGAATCACGGTCGTTGGGAGTGTGGACCTGGACGACATGGGTGACATTGGGGAAATCCATGCCTCTGGCGGTAACATCAGAGGAGAAGAGAATGGCAGACTTGGCCCGTCTGAAATCCTCGGCGCACCTGGTGCGGATGGGCTGGGTCAACTTGGAGTGAATATCGCGAACCTCGGGAATATCGGGGAATTCACGACGGAGGCGGCGGAAAGCAGCGCTCCACGAGATGACGGAAGCCGTGGTGGGCAAGAACACCATCATCTTCAGAGGGTTGCCCTCGAGCTCGTCACGGTTCTTGGCAACCCAGGTGCGGATCATTTCGAAAAGAGTAGCAGGCATGGTGTCGAAGCTGCGGCAAGGAACGATGAACTGGGGCACTCTCTCGTGGGTAGGGGTCTCGTTGGACTTGACGGTCTGGGCGAACTCGAAGTTGGTGGGGTCAATGTACTTTCTGGCGAGGCCAACCACGTCTTTGGGCATGGTGGCGGAATAGAGAAGAGTCTGGCGGGGGGTATCCTTTCTGTTGGGGAGCGCCTTGAGAATGGTGTCGAGCTCGGCGTCGAATCCAACATCCAGCATGCGATCCGCTTCATCCAAGCACAGAGCAGTGAGGTTGGGAGCAGCCACGCCGCTGTACTCGTCAGTGAGCAGATCAGCGAGACGGCCAGGAGTGCCGACGAGCAAATGGCAACCCTCGTAACGAATCTTTTGCAGCGACATTCTCTTCTGGGTTCCTCCGACAGCAGTCTGGACCTTGATGCCGGTGCCCTTGACGATCTTGGCAGCCTCCACCGCAATCTGCTCAGCAAGCTCACGGGTGGGGGAGATGACGATGGCACGAACGTCGTCGGATCTGGCCTTCACAGGGCGGCGAGCCTCAGCGAGGGCTGGCTGATCGGCAATAATCTTCTGAAGGATCGGTACAAGGAAAGCCAGCGTCTTGCCGGTACCTGTCTTGGCTTGCGCAACACTATATTTCGAGGCAGACTTGTTAGCAATCTTTCAGGGAGGGGTAATTCTTCAGCAACAGGCCTAACGTACAGATCTTTTCCAGCAAGAGCAGCGTTGATAGTCAGAGACTGCACCTCTGTCATGTCCTCATACCTCATCCCCTCGGTGATAGACCTGACCAGAGCATTGTGTACGCCCAAGCTCTCGAGATCTCTGAACTTGGTGATGCGCCCGGCGGGGGTGGCGGTTTCCTGCTGAGCGGCCGACTCGCTCGAGTAGAAGCGGAGGAGGCTGTTGACGGGGCGATACGACGCCTTGAGGGGTGTTTGTGCGATAGCAAAGGCCGACGGCGAGAGTCTGGCTGTGAGCTGGAGGGGGCGCGCAGTCAAGGCGACACGGCAGGCGGCGGCGTGCCGCAAGATGCTGGTCTTCATCATGACAAGACGGAAGGTAACGCTCAGCGCGTCCGTCGGCAAGGCGTCTGGGTGTCGAGCCTCTACTCGGGTATGAACTCGCGGCGAAGTGTCGACACGGGCTGGAGGCAGGCAATGAGGGGTATAACAGAGAGCGGGTGATTGCGACAGTGGAAGAATGGGGGAGCAGGATCAGCAAAAGAGAATCGGGCGGTTTAGAAAAATTTCCTGGTGTCCCCCATGTCAGCTCCAATTGGCTTATCTTATCGCCCGAACCCACCCGCGACCCTGCAGTCCCGGGCCCCCACCCCACTCTCCGAACGGCTCCGACATGAGGTGGTTGTGGAAGACTTCAGATGTTTTCTTTGAGCCACGAGTAGATGTTCAATCTTGTTGTTTATTTATCAACATGAAAATAGCATAACCATAGAATACCCCCCCTTTCCGCGAACTCCTGTCTAAAACCCCGCCCATGTATCTGTATATGTACCTTTTCCACACCATCCCGTCTTCCTGCCCCTCCATCCCACACGCCCCCCCCCCAACTCTACCAAATCCCATCAAGTCACATCAGAGCCCCTGCCTCGCAAACTGTGCACAGTCCATCGAATAATTTTGTGATGGCCATCCTTGATGTTGCGCCCGCTGCTGTTCATACATCCTTCGTCTTTCCCATTCCTCCGACGACATCGACGGTTGCTGCTGGTTCGAAAAACCACCTCCCTGTGCCCTCATAGCATCAGACTGCGCCCGGAACTCAGTCAAAGCCCCGTGAACGCCCTGGAAAACCCACGCCATGAACGCCGCTATGAGCTGGCCCACGTAAGCCGCAGAAAACCAGACATACGCATTCTTCGCGCCCTTGAACGTGCTCATCGCCATTTTGTTGATAAGCTGATTGTCCCTCTCGAACTGGAGCAGGCCAGAGATTCCCTGTCCCAGGAATGGTGCAAACACTTGCCAGAAGGCATACAGCCAGTTCAGCACGATGAAAGCAATGTGGTGGACGATACTCCTCTGTAAAGGTGGCATCGGCCTGTCATGGTGTGGGCCAGAATAGTCGTTTGGTTGCGGGCCTACCACCGAGGCGGGTGTGCTCTGCCGTATAGTCGAAGCCTCCGCAGGTGTGAGATCTGCCGGCAACCCTCTCATCAGATAAGCCAAACTGTTAATGTAATTCATCCTCTCCAAATCAGGCGCATTGCCTCCTTGCCTGGCGAGAGAGAGCATTCCAATGCCTATCCGCCACGTCAGCAATCCACTCTCTCCTCTCCCAATACAAGAATTGACTCACCCTGCGACCCATAATCCCAATTCACCCCGCTCTCACTCTCCCTAGCCCTAGCCTCCATACTCCGTGTCTGCCCCTGTCTCGAAACCCCCGGAGAATACCCCTCCTCTATCCTCGGCCGGTTCGGCAACGGCGGAGCAACAGGCGGCTCAGTCGAAGCCGGCAGGGAAGAGCTCCTCGACCTGGTAGCGTAGGTAGACACCGCTCTGGCGAGCATATAAGGGCTAGTCGGCAACCTCGACGCGACCGACTTCACCAGTGACAACGGAGACCGAATCACCTTGATAGACTGTGACTGAATCTCCACCTGGGCGTAATCAACGTAGGGCAGATCAACCATTGGGTTATCCCAAGGAGCGGCAGTTGTTGACGCAGAAGTAGGCGAGCCGCCTCGCCTGGCGTGGCAGTACTCGCTCTCGACATGGTGCTGCTGGTGGTGGCGGTTATTATCGTGGGGGTAAACACGATACATTGGCTGAGGATGTTCACAGTTGGGAGAAAGCGGCGGGTAGGGATGAGCAGGAGAACAAGACGACGACGAGGAAGTAGGGGGCCGCGCCGGCAGCGGCAGCGGCGTGGCGGGCTCGTCACGGCTGCTGAAAGTGGTCCACATCTTGTCCGTTCGTTCGGAGGCGTCCCAGGCTAGAAAGGGATAAACCAGGGGCGTCCTCGAAGAGATCCGCACTGGTGGCCGTTGAAAGCGAACGAGTCCCGAGAATCTGACTTCTTTAGTCGGACGCCTATCGATTCCTTTGTCAGGAGAAGGATAAAAGAAGAGAGCAAGAAAATAAAACAAGCGAGAAAAACAACGAGTCTTCAAGAATTCTTGAGGGAAGGAATCCAAGTACGGGAGGTGTCGCATGTGAAACCCTTCCTTTTCATACGATCTCAGCCCTGTATGAGAGGGTGACTCGGCAACCACCTGGGTTGTGATTCGGGCGAGGCTAAATCGTCCAAAAGCCGCATTTTGCCTCACAAAAAGGGGGGGCTGTTTGGTGTCGGGTCTCGAAGGTGCCAGCGGCGGTCGATGCAAGCTCGCAGAAAGCATGTGAATGTGGCCGTGTGTTGCTACTATCTAATCGCTCCGGCACGTGGGTCCATCTCCTGTTCCAGACCCACCTGCTCTTTGATAAACAGAGAGAGAAGCAACCATCTCGCCCAAAGTCTCATGCCTCAAAGAATTGACTACATACCTAATCCCTTCACACACGTTCCTGGATCTGCGTTGTTTATGTCTAGCCCACCGTGACCGCAATTGTATTTAACCAAAAATCAACGCAACCTTCCTGCTAGCCTTCGCGCTGATGAAGAATAAATATACCATTCTATGTAGGGGCCCCAAACACAAACCCCGAATGCAATGCACATAATGCTATGCAAAGAGAAACAAGCCAGTGTACACCACAGATTCCTACAACCCCTTCGCAGCCTTTTCTGCAGCAATCTTAGCCTCCATCTTCCTCCTCGCCTCCAGAATCATCTGATCCCTCCTCTTCTGCAACAAACTCTGCCTCTCATCCTTGTTCGAACTCCACGCCTTCCCTTTCCCACTCGCCTTGGTGTTGTCCTCCTCAGGTTCGGACCCCTTCAACTTCTCCGCCAGGTTATACCTCGTAATTAGATCCGGGTGCGCAGGCACAGGCGGCTTGACAGCGCTATTAACATGCGCGTTCCCAGAAGCAGCCGGACCAGCGCTCCCCTCGGGTGGTGGCGGCGGCTGGAACGTAGCGGGGGGCTGTCTCACAGATAACATTAGCAATCATTCCAAACCCCCTCCTTCACAAAAAGAGTAAACTCACACTCTCCAGCCGTCCCCCCAAAATCCTCTCCGCAGTCAACGCCACATTTCCCCCCGTCCTCTGCAAATCCCACAACACCTCCCTCCTGCTCAAATGCGGAAACATCTGCATAACCCTCTGCACCGCCGCCTCCCTCTGCCTCGCCATCGCCGCCGGGTCCTGCTGTCCCGTCGCCCTCCTCCTATCCCCATTCCCGTTCCCGTTCCCTGACCCCGAAGAAAACAAGTACTTGATCAAGATCCCAGACAGGACCAGAATGAACAACAGCCCCGGGACGTTGACTTGCTGCTCGGTTGCGTCTGCCATTTTGAACTTCCCTTCCCTATCTCTCTCTCTCTCTTTCTCTCTCTCTCGCGGAACCCCCGGTGGTGGTTGTTGTTGTCGTTATTGGTATGGAAATGCGCGAGGGCGAGGTAGGGTAAAAAACGGTGGAATATGCCGCGTGCGCGTGCGCGTAATCGGAGTCGGAGTTCTTCACCCGGGCAATCCTGTCCTCGGTCGTAGGTGGCTGGCTGGCTGGTCAGGTAGCGAACAGACAGATGTGCGCAAGGTAAATCCGTTTGCGAATCGGCAGTCCCGGTCGGCAGTGCTGTCAAGCGCAAGATGAAGAGTAAAAAAATGTTGGATAGAACGATGAGGTTCAAGGCCCAAGGTTGACGATGGGGAGTGGATCAACGAAACAGGTGGTTGGTTGGTCTCGGCCGTCGGGTGCGTCGTGGATGTTCAAATGGCTTGATGCCGGACACGTTCGCTCGCCGTCGCGGCCTCGAATCACTTGCATCATCCGTGCCAAGAAACCACATGACGCTCGGTCCAAGCAGCTCGCACTCACTCCCTCACGTTAACTCCGGCAAGTGGCGTCAATCTATCAAAAATGGACACGTTACACAGGGAACAAACTTAGATATGCTCGCTCACACATACACACACACAACATCTATTCGCTTGTGACGCCCCGAATAGAGGATGCTCACCAACTAAAACCTTCCCGTGGCCGTTGCCCCCACGCCCACCGTTGCTTTTTGAAGCCCATGAGAAAGGGGGTGAAATCAAGCCCGTTCGCTAAACCACATCCCCTCGCTAGAGCCGAAACTACCTAATGAATACACTATGATTTAAGCCTGCGATGCTTCCCTTTGCCGGCTGGCATACTATCAAGATACTACAGCAGGTGACGCGGACGTCGTGTCGAGGTCAGCATAGTGCAGAGTAAGTTCCCTCTGCGGCATCAGGTCAGCAAAGCCGTGTCAATATACTTTGTAGATAAAAGTTTCATACCCGCTCTTTGCGCCATAAGTCCTTGTCCCACACAATGTAGTAGCCTCGCTCAGTATTAACGCTTAAGGTTTGAGGTACCAGCTGTTCGTCCTTGGTCAACCAGAGTTGCAGACGCTTGTGCCATCGCCAATTGCGGCTCATGCTGTATTCGTCTCAGTTATCACGCTCATGAGAATATGGGGCAGCAGACACTCACAGCTCCATCGCCGCCAACTGCTGTTTGTAGTCCCGCGGACAGCTGTAAAAGATCCACATCAAGGTCTCCTCGTTGAAGCTACTAATTTTCACGTCCATGGGCTGTACGTTTTTGACCTCGTAGCAGTCGGGCAACTTGAAATTCTGAACCGCCGGCCTTGGAGGCATGGCGTTGAACAGCGAGTAAATCTGCGTGGAAATCAGGCTTGAACAGAGTTAGCAATTGTCCCGGTCTCCTAACGTGTGTCAGACAGCAACCTACTCGCTGGAACGCAAATCCAACCCCAGAACCGATGGCTCGATCCCATGGCCGATGATGTTGTAGTCGGGGAAATTGTTCATCAAAGTCTGATGCCCCTTGATCCCCCACCTGTCAATAGGAGACATCCCTTCAAGAGGATCAACAACATCCGGGAGCTGCCCTCGGTCCTCCTCTCTCGCCTTGCCCGAAGAGCGTCGTTACCAATAGCGCCTAACGGATTTCTGCCGACCGCATCATTTCCTGAAGTATGTGATGCCACGCTGCCCTCGCGAAACCCGGGTGGCTTTTGGCGCGGTTCTTCATCGTCCACTGGACTTCGAGGCCCTTGGGACCTTTGTATCGACGTTGGCGAAATAACCTCTCCTGTCCGGGAAGTAGCCGACAGGGCGTTGAGAAGACCGTTCCCAGCTAGGTTCGCGTGTGACACACCCCTAGTAGAAGGGGCGCCCCCTTGGCCGAACCCCATATTCGACATCAGACCTGGACCCCGATCTTGCCCTCCTATTTCGCCGTTCGTTGATCGGTTCAATGGTGGGAACTCGTCAGCCTGTCCTCCCTGGGGCGCTTGGTTCACGGCTCCCTGGTTGCCAAAACGAAAAGACGATTGCGCAGTCGAGGCTAGTCGAGAGGATGTGAATAGATCATCTTGTTGGCCCGGATGCGCTGATAAGGGCGTCTGGGGGCCCCGGTGAGCTCCTCCACCGATATTGCGGGATGGTTGTTGCGCCCACATAGATGCAGGGTTTGATTGATTTGGCGCCGTGTTGGACAGAGATGGAAACTCCCTAGATACGGCCCCCGTTAGTACGCTGTCGATTCAATAATGAGACCAAGAGAGTCGCAATCTGCGACAGAGAGGCAAGGTATGTGCGCCAGGCTGTGAGACAGTACCCCTTTACAACCAAAGCGTACGGCACTCCTTCTGGTTGCTTTTGCGGTTGTTCTTTGGCACTGACTGCCTTGCGCATTGCAGCGATTCTCATCTTTGACCCGACCGGTCGCGCCATAGCGAACTACGCAGCGGGAAAACGAGAGTCGAGTGGTGTTGCGCGTGGACAGGGTAAGGGGGTGGGTTGAGGGTGTTGAGGTGAAAGATCGGAGGCGAAATGCCAGACCAAAACGAGAGCGGCCGCAAAGTCGCAGTTGCAGGCCAGAAGCAATGAGCGCAAGGTGAATGGCCCAGAAAGTCGCAGAAAACCAGAAGGTCGCAACAATGGGATGAAAAACAGCGCGAACAATGCAGCCCGGCAGCAGCATCGCTCACCCCTCCGCCAACCAAAACAAAACAAAACAAAATCCGGAAGTCCAACTTACGATGGGTCTAACGTCGCCGACTGCTGCTGCGAGCCTATCAAGCTCTGGGCAAAACTGAGATTTCCACTTGCTTGCGGCCGCATTCCCATATTGAGGTTCGCATTCCCCCCCATCGATAGACTGCCGCCATTGCCAAACGCCCAATTGGAATTGTTCATCGCCGCTACGCAGTCATGCATGTCAACGTCGTTCTGCCAGAACTATCCTCCTCCCAGTGCATTCTCACCTTGCTGCGCTTTAGGTAGCCCCCTCGCCTGCCCTGGGCGCCCCGGCTGTTGCTGAGGCGGCTGTTGCCCGTAGGGCACTTGTCGTAATGGTCCTATTATTGACGACATCAGTCAGCAAATCTGTTTCCCTGTTGGAACCAAACTATCGCGAGCTCGGCTGATGGGTACACCCTGGCGGGAAGTATGGGAGGTCACGACCGCCTCCTGAGACATTCGGACGTCGTCTTCGATTCGGGAGCGATTGGAGGAGCACAGCCGGCTGAACCGCCCAGCAGCATAGGGCTCAACAGTGCAGTTCTCCTCCGCCATTTTGACTTGATGAAGGTGAGGGCATGTTGAGCCTCGCTCACAACAACCCCCTCCCCCACCGGCTCCCTCCCCGCCGCCAAGTCTATGTATGTCTGCTTCGGTTCGATGTAGGTGCGGAGGCCAGTATTACCCCTCGTTCCATCCCATAACTCGGAGGTGCCACGAGGGCCAGACGACTGGGCGGTGACTCGGCAGGTGTTTTCTTTGACGGCGGCAGATGTGTGGCATTCGAGATGGACAAACAGCGGGGTACCGGGCGAGACGAGGAATCAAGACGGCAAAAGCAAGGGCAAAGAATGGGCCATCGTACCTTGCCGGTTCATCATTTGGAACGCGGGGTTCAGAGGTGTCTCGGTTCGTAGTTATATATGTGTTCCTAGACGAGACTGGATAGAGAATATCTTGGGACGAAGAGGGTAAAACGGTGGTGATGGCCAGCCAGTGTTGCGTTTTCGAGACAGCGCTACGAATCATGCAAACGCTTGTAACTGAACCAAGGATGGGCGCTTGGTTGAGGGCGGGAAAGCTCAAGGGATCGCAAGCGGGTCCGTGCATTCTCCACAAAATTATACCGCAATGTCCAAATTTAAAGCCAAGGCTACGTCCACCGTCTTCCCTGTCGCCTCCTAAACTTTAATTCAACCAATTACTCCGTACTCAGACCTGTCAGCTGGCACCGGCAAATGAGTTTATTTTCACTCTTCATTCATCTTTCAGAGTGCCTATCTAAGCCGCCGTCCGAACAGCATCCAACAGACTCTTCTCAAAGTCCAAGTCTGTCAGATGCCGCCCAATCAACACCAGCTTGCCTTTCCGGGGTACATCACTAGATGACGGCGCGGGGCTGTCAAAGATATCGAAAATCTCTCTCACTCCCTGGACCATCTTTTCAGCCCCATCCTCGATAAACAGCCGCCCCTTCACACGATGGATCTCAAAAGCTGGCCCATTGGCCGCCTTGTTCCCAGGAAGCTCATTCTCCCACAGCACCGAGCGCAGCCAGGCGTCTACTACCGTCAGTTGGTTGGTCGTCAGCTCCTCGAGAGGGATTGACAATGTTGAGATGGTCTAGCAAATCTGTCAGTTTGTCTGCGCCACAGTCGATTGGATAGGTCCACTCACTTTATCGAGGTGGCTGTGCCCACGTCCTGCACGGTCAAGTTCATCGACACGGTCATATGCGTGCAAGTCGAGCAAGAATCCCTCCAGATCAGGCACAACACTTTGCGAGGTGACGAATATCTTGGCCAGCTCATTGATGGATGTGATGCGCTCCCTGACGGCTTCCAACTCTTCTCCGCTCACAAGGTCAGACTTGTTGATGACGATGACATCGGCGTGTGAAATCTGCACGTGAGCAGTGGTCATGACTGGTCCATGATCATCAGAGTCTTCATGACCTTCCACCTTGCCCGCAGGATCATCCAAGCTGCGAAGGATATTCTTGGCATCAACGAGGGTCACGATGCCATCTAGATAAATGGTGCTCGCCAGCCCGTCATCAACCCAGAATAGCGGCGCCAGATTGCCCGGATCAGCCAACCCTGTTGTTTCGAGCAAGATGTAGTCGAACTTTCCCTTCTTTTCCATCAGAGACTCAATGGCGTTCACGCCTGTGTCTCTGTTTATAACTGTTAGCGGGGTTTCACTGACTTGAAAGAGGCCGTCTTACTTCACGGAGCAGCAGATGCATCCGTTGCCCACCTCTAACCACTCTTCCACAGCCTCGCCATCCTTATTCACAGTCAAGGACTTTTCAATGTCCAAAGCTGAGCTGTGTCAGTTACGTTATACTCAAGCAGATGTCTCAGGGGGAGATGACTTACAGTCCCCAAACTCTGAAATAAGCAGTCAGCAAGAGACACTCTTGACACAGAATCTGGTCTTCTCTACCCACCATTCATAATCACAGCAACCTTTTTGCCATGCTTTGCAGTCAGGATGTAGTTGAGCAGTGTGGTTTTCCCAGCTCCAAGGTATCCTAGGGTTTTTGTAAGAACAGGCGATATATCCCAAAAGTAAAGTAAAGCCATAGCAATACAAACCTGTTACTATTGTGATTGGCACCTTTTTCGCTTTTTCTTCTGGTAGTTCCACTGTTTCATCAGCACCAATCAGGTCTGGCGGGGCGTCGTTGTCGTCAAAGTTCATTTAAGCGGTCGTTATTTCGTCAATTGTATGAAGGGAAAGTGTTGAGTTTTGGTATCCTCTGTCTGTCCTCTTTGAACGGGTCAAGATAGTCAAGCTGATGATGTATCTGCAAGGGCGCACATGTCCTGGAGCAATGCTTCGATCAATGGCGGGGCAGGCAACTTGGAATCCCAGATTTGGATCTGGGCTTGGCACGTTACGTAAGGGCACAGCAGGGATCCCCGGTTCAGGGAGCTTGGGCCCCCAGAAGCTGGTAAGCGCCGCCGGGACAGCATTAACTTCTAGAATGATATCGGGCAACGACGTCGATCCATACTTTCCAGCTTCACAAAACCCCCGGCCCGAGTTTACCCAAACATCACCCCAGCATCTCTTTGTCGAGTCGTCGACTCTGCATCAACAATCGATATTGTCAACCACAGTCTACCATCTCTACGAAGCAGGCATCCGCGCGCGCGGCCGACAAAGACCAAAGTCAACAAACCACCCACCCACTCGAGCCTCGAGGACACAACAACCATGTCCCTCGCCCCAAACTCCCCTCGGCTCCCCAGCCCACCACCTCCAGCCGAGATCCAAATAGGTCCCAAATCCCCCATGATGGGCGCCCACCACCCTCCCCCAATAGAACAAACCGCCCTCGACGCAAACTCCAAACGGCGCATCCACCCCGGCACCAAAGCAGCCGACATGCACGCTGGAGGGAACTATTGTTACCCTCCACGAAGAATATGTACTTCGGAGGGGGGGGGGGGGGGGGAAACCCAATTTTTTTATAACACAATATTTTTATTTATTTTATTTTTATAAAATTTTTATTTAATATATATAACATTATTAATATTTTCATATTATCTATTTTTTTAAAAAATTTTTATATTTTTTATTTTATATACCTTCAATTTAAAATATTCCCTTACTTTTTTTTTTCAAATTATTTTTAACATTTATTATAAAAATTTCTAACTCTACAAATTTAAAAAAATAATTAT